GTTTAGTAGTAGATAAAAATGAGTTATTTTTAAAGCAATAAAAGCCCATTGCGATTGATGAGGATGTGATAAAGGTGATGAACTGATAAACAGTTCATCATCCACACGAGAAAGAAACAGTCAGAACCTTTTTTCTTTTTTTTTTTTTTGTGTAAATGATTCAAACTATTATACGGGAGATGGGACTTCTTTCCACCTTATTTGTTTCCACATCTTATTTTTCCTTCTTTCATTTAGTTGATATTGACAATTACTCAATAATGCATATTCAAATACTCAAAAAATCTAATAAAGTTGAAGGTACCATGCACTCCCTCCGTCCCACTTTGATAGTCTTGTTTTCCTTTTTCGTCTGTTTCAAATTGTAGTCCACTTTCCTATTAAGAAATGTAGTAATCTTTTAAATTGTCTAAAATACCCTTATTAAATATCTTGTTATTAATACATTGTTATTAAATACTAACCCACTACATTGAATACATTGAGCTTTTCCAATACTAACCCATTAGTTGTAACTGATATTAATTGGCACTCTTCGTGATTAGCATAAGGGTATTTTAGGAAATTATTAATCTAAATTTATGTTTCCAACCAAATTAATTATACTTTCTTAATCTGTGTGAAAAAAAAATCAAGACTAACAAAACGGGACGGAGGGAGTATGTTTTTAAGCACATTTTTATCTCTTGAACTATCTTTTTTCTTACATATATTATATCACAAAAAGTATTATAGCATTAAAATATATAACAATATACAGGGTAGAGATTTGTAATAATAGAAATCTTATTTGAATAAATAAATATTTTACTTTGACTCTACAGATGCACACCCCCCTACTTTTAAACTGAACACACTTTGAGATTTGCTTCTAGCATGCAACAGCAAAAGGATAATTTTGTTTATTTTTCGCTCTTGTGACACGTAATGTGAGGAACGTCTCATGCAAAATTGTTTTATTCTATTCTTGTATGTTTAGGTACCTTGACAAAATTATTTTATTCGTGCATGCAAGTCTATTCTTTGTTGCGAATATTTTCTCACCAATTTTTGTGGCTTCACCTGTCTATTTCTTAGATTTTCCTCAACCACTTGATCAGCATATACTTTATGCAAACTCTTTTGGACTGATTATTTATTTAATACCACAAATGGTCATCCATTTCAAAAAATGAAGCACTATCATCCAGGCATGGTGATATGTTTCTTTTCGTCATTCTTTCTCGCTTGACTTTTCCTGAATTTTTCCTTGTAGTTTTAGTTTCGAATTTTTGCTTCAAAGGAAAAAATATGAGCAACAATTAAGAACATATTACAGTAATCAAAAGATCTAACTAAGGGTCTGTTTGATAAGATAAAAAAGTGCTGAATCTGAATTTTTTCAGACATTCAGATGTTTTGAGTGTTTGATAAATGAAAATCCATTTGCTGAATTTGTTAAGTAGTGTTGAACTTGTGTGTATTTTTTTCAGTACAAGAATCCTAACTGAATGCTTAATTCTAATAAGAATTAATAGAATTACTTCAATTTCCTTATCTTATCTTCCAAATCTACCATTGTTTGTTAATTATATTTAAAATTCTTATCTAATTAAACAATCTGATATTCTCTATCTAATGATCTTCTATTTCTTTTTTTTTTTCCCTTTTGAATGATTTTCACATCTTCTCCATACTCCTCATATAATATATTTCATCTTTTATATTAATTTGATTTTAAAATATATATTATCATTTTCATACGTAACATTTTTAGCTAATTAAATCATAGGTTCTATTTCTTTTTTGGATGAAAAAATATAAGGGTAAATTTGTCAAATTTAACTTATCAATCATTTAGTTATAAATGTTTATCAAACAGTATAAATAGGTTTAACATTAAAATTCAGACATTCATATATATTTCTTTTCAGTGCTTAAAATTCAGCAAATTAATTGTTTCAGATTCAGTTTTACCAAACGGAACCTAAGTGAACTAAAAAGCGGCAAACTGTAATGACTAAATTACCCAAAATTTGATAAACAAATTAAAAAAGACTTTTGTTAGTAAAGAAGAGAGAGAAGGGCCAAATCAGAAGTCCATTCTTTCACTATTTCAACCAGGAGCGTCAAATTTGGCTTCCAAAAAGCATAGACGTATTGCCTTTGACTAAAATGAATAAGATATTCAGGTTCCTGATTCTCTCTCCCTCTCTCGCTTTTTTTTTTTTCTGCTAATCTTCTCGAACTATGACAATATAATTTGATAAGCGTCCAGCTAATCCAGATTCAGCTTTGAGGGTCGCTAAGACATATCTATAACACGTAATTATTACCAAAAATAGTGGCAGAGAGCTTTCCCTCCAGCTAATCCACATTCAAATATATCCTCACTTGCAGCTTAATTGATTAATTACTTTGTAATTAAACCTCTGCAACTTTTTGTTCCTAACTTTAATGTCAATTCAACTTTTTGTTACTACTACAAGTCTACAAGTCAATAAGAAACAACAACACGAGTCAGCGACAGAAGAATTTTAAGAATGATTTATTATACACAAAAAAATACTTTTCAGAGGAAGAAAATATCTAGTTGCAGGTCTCCTCTGCAAGACTGTAGTCAAACTCCTCTTTCACTCCGACAACGACGTCGGGGCACGGCTGTTTGTTTAAAATCCGATAGGCATTACCCTCCGATTCTGACATTCAACGAATTAAATATTTTTTGTCAAAATTAAAAAAAATATATAAATTATTAAAAAGATATATATAAATTATTAAAATCCAACAGGCATTGTCCTCCCACAATTTCACTGAATTCTCCTGAACTTTAAAAAATTACACATACCTCCCTTTTCATTTAAAATGATAATTTTATCCTTAAATATTTTAATAAAATTCTTTTATTTGGTATGCTTATACTTAGAATGAGTTTTAAAATTATTTTTTCATTCTTTCTATAGAACTACCACTATTGCATCTGGGTTTCTATTATAATCAAATGTCGAACTAATGATTTTTTTGACGAGTTAATTTTATATGTAATCCAATGTTTTTGCTGATCTTTGTTTTTTTTCTTTTAGTATTAAAATTAACAATAAATAAAAAAGAAATGGCCCAAAAGAACTACTAAATTATGATAATCCCACTACTCCAAAAATTTATAAATTCTAAATGAATTATTTCAACATTTTCTTTTTTATCTTATAAATCTAAATTCATAATAAAATACTGTAAAAGATATCATATCATAGTAATAAAATTATTATTATAGTCGTTTATCAAACAGTAGATATAGACATGAAAATTTTGGCAATTTTTCCTTATAATTATACTATATAATCTTATAATTGTATATGAAAATAAATTAAGACTCATTTCACAAGGGCATTTTTTGGGTATTCATTTTAAAAATTGTCCAAATTAATATTATTTTAAGATTTCGTTACTAAAACTATCAAATTAAAAAAGATAAGTGTAATTTTTCAAACCTTATGAGAGTTCAGTGAAATTGTTAGAAACGTCAAAAGAGGTTTTCGAAATTATCCCAAAGTACAATTTGGCGAACTAAAAAATTGGGTTAATTCCACATACCTCCCGTAAGGTCGTAGAACAAAAAGTTGTAGACAAGATTTATTTATGAAGGTAATTACTCAATTAGGCTACAAGTGAGGATACAACGTCATGTTCCGGACGAGCTTTGAGGGTCGCTAAGACACTGTATCCTCACTTGTAAAAAGTATACAACATGTTGCCAAAAGTCACTGCAGTGAGATTTAAAAAATCACTACCCTGGAGAGAACCCTGCTACTAAGAGTGTAATAACCCCCAAATTCCTCCAAAAGCAGTTTATCTTTTATCAACAATTGCAAATTGACTTTTATTGAATTTGATAAACCTAATCCCAGAAGAACCCTCAAAAGCCGGCAACCCTATCGGGGTTGGGGGTTGGGTTAGTTGGGTAGATAAATCCCTAGGAGACCCTCAAGAGTTGCCGGCTTTTGAGGATTCTTCTGGGATTAGGTTTATCAAATTCAACAAAAGTCAATTTGCAATTGTTGATAAAAGAGATTTAAAAAAATCGTTATTACCAAAAATAGTGGCAGAGCTTTCCTAATATCACAAGGTATCTTCCTCGCACGTGGCTTCAATCTGTAGCCGGCGTTGTACAAGATAGACTTTTTCGTGGGCCTCTGTAGCCGCCGTGACCAAGCGCTATTGGTCTTTACATTGACCCATTTTTCCTTTTGACTCTTTATAATTTTACAGGTGAAAACTATGTTTTCAGAACCGGATCGGATAGCGACTCGGCCGAGGTCAGGGGTCAGGGGTCAATGGGTTCGACCGGGGGTCGATAGGGGTCGAACCGGATGACGTCATAAATAAAAATTATTTAAAAATTAAAATATTATATATATTATAATAATATATTAGGCATATTCATATATATTTGATGTTTCAAATATATTTAACAAGAAAATACAAAGAAATTAGAACAATCAAGTAGCAATTTATATTATTTAATAAATATTAACAAGTTTAGAATTAAAATTATGAATTTAATTGAAAAATAACATCAAATTTTAGGACAATATTTATAAAGTATCAAATATTTGAGCTATATCAATAAGTTTTAACAATTTAGGGGGTCAAAACATAATATTAAAAAGTTTGAATTTTTTTTAAAAAAAATTACTGTTGAACCGGAAAAACCGGTTTTTTCCCGGTCAAACCCGGTCAAACCCGGTTTTTGACCGGCTTTGACCGGATTTTAAATTTCCGGTTTTCTAATGTGACTCGGACCGGCTACCTGGCCGGTTTCCGGTTCGACCGGTTCGACCGGCCGGTCCGGTCCGAGTCTGAAAACAGAGGGTGAAAATATTTATTGTTGCAATAACATAAAAGAAAAGGTAATATGTCTATCGCCAACATTCTTACAGCGGGTCCTTGTCAGAGCTTGTGCTCTCCATCTATTTAAGCAGCTCCAACTTCCAAGATTCCTTCATAGCAAACAACATCAATTGTAGCTAATCTCCTCCTCCTTTCCCTACATTTCCATTACACGAACCAGGGACCATGTTGTTTGCTTGTGCTATTATTGCTCTCATTATTGTGCTTTTCAGCCACTGGGTATACAGATGGAGAAACCCCAAGTGTAACGGCGTATTACCGCCAGGCTCGATGGGATTACCAATTATAGGAGAAACAATTGAGTACTTCACCCCTTATGCATCGGATGATGTTCCACCATTCGTACAAAAAAGAGCGGCTAGGTATGTCTAACCCTTTTTTTTTTGGTTTCTCCTTGCTCTTCTCGTTTCTAACTATCCGTTACAAAATTCGAATCTTAAACTAGATCGTGGAGAAAACTCTAATACCCTCTCCTAATCATTAGGCCAACCTCAATACTCCACTGGTTATCTAACCACTTCTATCACATATATATATTTTAATAATATGACAGCAGTAATAGTTAAGAATATTTTATCTCAACTAGCTTTCCTTTGTTTCCTTTTTTTTCTCTTTGGGAAATTTCAGGTACGGACCAATTTTTCGCACGAGTATAGTTGGGCAGCCAGTCGTTGTATCAACTGATGCTGACTTCAACTTCCGCGTCTTCCAGCAAGAAGGTAATGGGTTTGTTTGGATTGTTTCATATTTCCCCAATTTTATTTGTTTATATCATCTTTACAATTTCCAATACACCTTTTTATCTTTCCAATAACTTTTTATCTCACATACATCACATCACAAAAAGTGCTACAGTAAAAATATCCCAAATAATCCCAAATAACTTACAATCCAAACAGACCTAATGCTTTCCAAATTTGGTATACTGAGAGTCTCTTCCAGATAATTGGGAAACAAAGTGTACTTGCCCATCATGGAGGCTTCCACAAGTACCTCAAGAGCTTAACGTTCAAGCTTGTTAGCCCCGAAGCCTTAAGAGAGAAGCTAATATATGAAATGGATGCCAGCACTCAAGAATCTCTAAGTTCTTGGAGTAAACTTGGAAAATTAGATGCTAAAGATGGAACATCAGAGGTAATTTAATCAGCATCCTACTATTTGATTATATTAATCAGGATGAATTCGGACTGTACGTACAGAGCATTGCATGAAAAGTAGTAATGAACAATCTCATTTTCTCCAGTTGGTATTTAAATATGCTGCCAAGAAGATGCTTGGCTATGAAGAAAGCAAGGATCAGCAAAAATTGAGAGACAGTTATAAGGCATTCATGGATGGCTTGATCTCATTTCCTCTCAACATCCCTGGAACACCGTTCCATGCTTGCTTACAAGTAATCAATTGTTATTGTTGTTGTTCGTCATTTGGAATTCTTTTTATATTGAAAGATCGATGTTCACTATACCTACAAGAAAAAAAACATATTCATTATAAATATATGACTAAGTAAAATACATATGCTTTCATAAATGCCGTATCAGATTGAACGAACTATATGGTTTTCATTTTCCAGGGACGTAAGAAAGCAATGAAGGTCATCAAGGACATCTTTGAGAAGAAGCGCTCGGGCAATGACACTTCGAAAGACTTTGTGGACCATTTACTTGAGCAAATAAAGAAAGAAGACACTTTTTTGAATGAAGAAATTGCGAGGGACCTGGTATTTTTGTTTCTATTTGCTGCCCATGAAACGACTTCAACAGCTTTGACTGTGGCCTTGAGGTATCTAGATGGCCATCCACGTGTTATGGCTGAACTAAAGGTCCGTGACTTTCCGAAACAATTTCTCCCGTTGTCATCTGTATTTACCCTTTAATTCTCCAATTCTTGTGCAAGTTCAATATTTAAATGATTAATATTCTATATATACTGATAGTATACATTGTTATGATTAGATGTTTACACTAACAGAATATGTAAGATTATTTCATACTTAAATAGTCAATCGTTTTTGTAGAGAGAGCATGAAAATATTCTTCAAATGCGAGAAACAGAAGGTTCTGTTATTTCTTGGAAAGAGTACAAGTCTATGACTTTCACACACATGGTACGTTCCAATTAACCAGACATTTCATCGTATCTATCATTTGAATCATATGGTGAGCTAGACCATTTACATCTTATGTTTTGTTGTCTACTGTAGGTTATAAATGAAACACTTAGGCTTGCAAATATTACTCCTGGGATTTTGCGCAAAGTTGTCAAGGAAGTTGAAGTAAAAGGTATACTTCAATATGTCATTTGGCATCTTCTTGAAAATCATTTGTCACACTTTCTTTATTTTGGACCGGTGATACCTTTCTCCTGCAGAAAAAAGGAAAAAGAAAAAAGAAAGAAAAATTCTCTTTGGTAACTACTTGGGTTGGGCATTTTTTCATGGGAGTAAAAATATAGAAAATAAATTATTTGTTTCCTTGGTTCCTCTTTTCCTCCATTATAACTTCCAGTTTTGACTAATAAGTGCGAATGATTTGCAGGGTATACAATTCCTGCTGGCTGGACGGTAATGGTTTGTCCATCAACTGTTCATTTGGATCCTAATGTATATGAAAACCCCCATGAATTTAACCCATGGCGATGGGAGGTAATTTGATCATCGACATATTTGAGTAATATATGCACACAAGAAGGATAAACTTACAAAACAAAAGATAAACAAAATCAAGTAAAAATGATTCAGGGTTTTTCTGCTGTTTTTTCAATCAAAAGGGCAAAGAATTACACATGGGATCAAAAAATTTCATGGCATTTGCTGGTGGTACGAGGCTTTGCGTTGGTGCTGACTATGCCAAGGTGCAGATGTCAATTTTTCTGCATTACTTGGTCACAAAATACACGTAAGGATCTCCAAATCACAATTCCCACCATCTCCGCTTAAATACATATAGAAGAAGCTAATTCCTACATATTATAAATTGATGTCCACTTAACTTCTTCGATTTTTTGATATGCATGATTGCAAGAAGGAAGTGATAACTGATCAAAAAGCTTGTCTAATTTGAATTTTCAGCTGGAGAGTTACCAACGGAGCAGAGAGAATCCGGACACCTACTGGTATTTGTTACCCCAAGGGATTGCACATGGAGATTTCAGAGAACAAATAGATTTTAAGCCGGGCGCGTACGAATAAAGCCTGTACTTTCAGAAGCGTATTTATGATGCAGTAATTTACCGTCATATTGTAATTTACCTTTCAGCTGAGTTTCACTACATTGCAATATTGTAAGTGCCTAATAAACAACATTTTACGTGGTATCTTTCTTGACACTATTGTAATTGTTGAAGATGTTATAATAGTTGTAGTTTGAGCTTCGACTAATTGTTTTTCTTCACCAAAATCGATACAATGATCTTATTTATGAGGACAAATCAAGCCAAGAAAACAATACATGTATATGTATGCAGTAAGTATTGCTCCTTACATCTTATAAAGTTTGTCGCACTTCAAGAATCAATTTTTATTAATAGTGGATAGAATTTGAAACTTGATGGGTAGTTTCTAACTCATAAAGAATTGTGGGGCTATGATATTTGTTCAATCCTAGGTTTTGTGGAAAATCTTAGATATTTGAAAGTTTTACCAAATCTTGGATTGTTGTGATCTTAATTACTTGATAACTGTTACATACTACAAAAGTAGCTGTTTTACTTTCTTGATAATAGTACGTGGACTCATAAAAAAATACATGCATTGAACTTTTACGGATTGCCTGAGGAGGTACTGACCATTAATATACCCTTTTTTTAGACTTCTTTTTTCTTTAAATTAAGATAAATTAAATTATAAAAATCTTATTGTCATAAAAAAAAAATTGATGCACAACGGGTGCAGGTGAAATTACTGATGCATCTATTTTTTTAACAGAATGACCTCAAAATCACCAAAATCTTACTATTTTTTTGCCTGTATTAACAACATGCTTCCAAGTCTCCATCAAAGAACTTTCAAGCTGTACAGAAGTAATTGACATAAAAAAATAAAAGAATAAAAATAAACTCTTGGGCCACACCTCATAATTTGGTGGACACGAAGTGGGGGATGGTCATAATTTACCACACTACAATTGGCCCCTTTAGTAGATCTAATCCAGGATGACAAATTACGAAAACAACTTGCATTTTGGACTCCTCCGAATGAGTGTGAGGGTCTTTTATGGGAATGGCATCTGTGAAAGTATAGAAGTGAAATTAAGTTTAGGTAATCGATTACAAGTTGAACATATGTGCTTTACAGCTGAAAATAAAATATGGCTAATTCATAACTCGCTTGTGGCTAAAAGATCTCCCATAGTTTATGGAAATAATTTCATGTTTTTATGGAAGTAACACAAAATTTTCTAGATTATGTATATAAGGTGTTGGAATATTTTAATAAAATTGCTAAATTCTCAATTTGATGTGTAAGTTATAAGGAGAATAAATTGGTGAATATTTTTCAAATTTATTGGTGTTTGAATGATTTTTGACTAAAGATTTGTTATATAAACTTATGGCTTTTCAATTACAATAAATTTTGCAACCTACAATTCGAGTTAGAGTGTGTCTTGAATAGCCAATAATTTTCAGCATCTACTTGGCATATTATTAGTTTAGGTTATGTTTGACTAATTTTTCTTGATCTATAAATATGGGTTATTGAGATAGAAAAAGATGCTACAACAACTTATGTTTTTTGAGCTACAATTCATAAGAGAAAATATCTACTCTTTTGTTATTTTCTATCTCATATATTGGCAAAAAAAAAAAAAACAAGTGTTTGTAGAGTTATTTTTTTTTAACAATTATCTATTTTTTATTAGAAACAAAAATTGCCTGAGAGGGGCCTGGACCGAACCTCAGCCAGCGAACGACACATTGAAATCAAATGACTGCAAACTAACCCAAGCGACTAGGACGACGTCGCACCGAAAGGATGGATACGACATCCTATCCAACCTATACTCTCCCCTAACTAAACGTGGCAGATCCTCCGTCCTCTTAAAGATGCTAATCTCATCCATAGATTTGTTGCACCCTTCTTTTGCCAATATGTCTGCAATTCTATTGGCTTCCCGAAAGCAATGTTGGACTTTAAAAGAAGAGGACGATGCAAGGCGAATATGCTCCAGCTCCTTATCAATGGACCATGGCCTCTTGCACTCGTTGTTTAAAACCCGTACCAAGACCAACGAGTCCGACTCCGCCAATACCTGCGTGAGACCCTGCTGGGCACATAGTCGTACCCCCACTAGCATGGCTTACACATGCTGTTAATTTTTCTATTTGACATTTGTGTAGTTGTTCTAGCGGAGCAACAATTTTAAAGTGATTCAGAACAAGATGGAGTTCAACTTACAAGTCACTTGAGCCTACCTATGGACGAAAAATGAGAAGATCTCAACCAATGAAACATATTAACAATAAAAGAATGCTTGTGGAGAAAAATTTAAGAAAAAGGGAAGTTGTTGAATTCTATTACTAGTATTATAATGACTTTTATAGTTTCTATGAAACTTCTTGTCCTAATACCAAAAGTCTTGGAAGGCTTAATAGGAAAATATGGCACCAGAGAAGTAGATCCGAAAGAGTTCAAATTGCTGAACAATTACAACTTGTTGCTGCACTAGACATGTTGCTGCCATGCATTTTGAAAGAAATTTTTAAAGGTGCCTTCTTAACAAGTAAAAGTGAGCTTCCAACGGGTATGATTAATTGGGTCATTCACTCTAATTGCAATAGATATATACTCCATTGCATGTTAAAAAGTTGTGACAAATAGTGGGTTCATAGTAATTTTCTATGCTAATATGCAAAGAACCACTCTTTGACTGACAAATTGAATGCGATATGTGTTTAGTTGCGTATCATTAAAGCACTAAAATAATGGGGGTTTTTCCTTTGCTAAAAATTAATTCAAAGAATCTGATATATTATTGAAGATTCTCAATAACATGGATTTTTAGTGTGAATAACAGAAAAAGATGAATGTGTAGAATCTCATGTGGTACCATATTATTTTTGCAACTTGTGAGCATGAATCTTAAAGTTGCAATTAAGTGCACTGTTAAATGACATTGAGTATAATGGTTTTGGATTTCTTAATTCTTTCTTTGAATTTGTGCAAATGGATATACACTCGAAAGTGTGAATATAATGTGAAGGCACTTGAAGTAAGTATTTCATATTCTTGCAGAAAGAAGTTCTATGGAAATTCCATGGAGATAGCAAAAATGGTTCCTAGTAGGTCTATGGAATTTACTGCTTGAAGGTTGGAATTGGCCCTGTTTGAAGAGTAGAATCGTCAAATTTTCATCTTCCAACTTCTATTCCAATTCCAGCACCTTTGTAGATGATCTCAGGTTCTTTGTTCTTTGGACTAGACTACTTGTGTGAGCCCTAACGCAATGCATGAGGGTGCCAAGACTTTGGTTAATTTACAACTTGAGCAAATATGTAATCAAGCAATTGGCTACTGATACGCAGATAAAATTCTTCATTAAACAACTTTTATTACTTAACTTGCAATTATACATAACAAACTTTTTAAAGCTATTTTAATTCAATACACAGGATTAACAGGCCATATCAACATAAGAAAATACTCTATTGAACTAAATACACCAAATTCATACTAGCTTCATTGTCTTGCACTGCATAAAAGAAGTATTAGGCTGCAAATTCCGGAGCCACAAAATTTTGATCAGATTTCCACAGGGCCAAAGAGTTTCACTCTTAGCAACAAAGTCAAACCTCCATTCCTTTGTATAATGCTCGCGATCTGCAGGATCATATACAAGAATGGTCATACTCAGACTAAACATACTCCTAACAACGGTGAACTTTATTACTCCAACGCCATTGTTTCCAGGACCAGGAACAGGATTAAGCAAGCATGTGCTATGCACTGACCCTTCCCACCGTTCGTATGCTGCAATGGCGTTGATCTCGTCTATAAATCTGTTCAAAGCACCATCATACCTGCTGTCAATCACTATTAGCACATGAGTAACATTTGAAAATTTTGCAAATGAAGTAAAATTTTGTTTAGAAAATCTCTCATATTCTCGCTGTATCAGACCAGAAAGTTGAAGCTAAGTGAGCCTCAACCAAGTACAGTTCATTGGAAAAGAAGTCAAAATTCTGACTCAGTAAAGATTAACTTATGTATCTTTGTGGAATAAAGATTAATGAATAAGAAGAAAGACTAATATCTTTCAGGTGTAAAACTCAAAAGATACTAAATAATCACAAACTTAAGCAAAGTCTTTTAAAATGGCAAAGAAAAATATATACTGCAGAGGCCCCGTCCTGGGCCTGGACACGTGGCAGCCCAGGCTTGGCCGAGCTGGGCCTCGGCCCCAGGCCCCTGGCGGTCGTCCTGGGCCGCTCTGCTAGGGCACCTAAAGGGAGAAAGGATCCATCCCGAAGAGGTCGGGGACGATTCCCCTGAATGCGGGATAGGGGGCTATTCTGGGCAGGTCCTGGAACGTGCGGAGGTCGGACTCCCCTAGCAGGTATAAAAGGTAACACACGTCGACTGTACAAGATACGCTCACTATTGGCAAAATTACGCCCGGTTGTCTTTACTTCCCGTGAACTCTACTCACCGGAAAACTAACTCGACCGTCGGAGTGCCCTCGGGGACAACCCTCGGGCCCCCTTGGCTAGCTCATTCTTGTTTGTTTTGCAGGCTTAGGACCAGCTCTTCCATCAGCACCCCGAGCTAGTCGAATCAGCTCGGTCCGGGGAAGCTCAGCGCTTCTTCAGTTGGCGCCGTCTGTGGGAACGTAAGGTAGTTAAGATTGTGTTGATGGCCAGGACGCGGTCCAAGCGAGCGGTAGAGAGCACCGGCCCTGGAGGCGGTGAGGGGTCCCAGCGACGGGAGGCCGAGGCGTCCCGGGGCGCCGGGAGCTCAGCCCTTTCAGGAGAAAGGATGCAGCAGATTTTCCAGTTCGTGACGGAGAACCTCCCTATGCTGGAAGACATCATTCGGCAAGCGAAGGAGGGGGAGGGGGCTGGAGGCCCGCAGACCTCGAAGGCAAAGGGAAAAGAGAAAGAGCTACTCCCCGATCCCTCGGAGGATGAGTCACGTGACCAACCCCCTAGAAGGAAACGGCCAAGGACTCCACCTCGCCCGCGAGCCTCGGTAGTCGGAGATAGCGAGAGGCACTCTCGTTACAGGTCCGCGGGGAGTAGGCCGAGGGACTCCTCGCCGAGGAGGCCTGTGTGAAATGGGCTGGACCGCTCTCCAGCCCGGTCTGCCAAGAGCCGACCGCGCGAC